CACAGAGCAACTGTTCCTGCTCAGCTGTCACTGAGGAGTTTGTCACAGTGTGTGCAGGGCTTAAATCAACAGGTGGGTGAAAATTAATGAGTAAAAAATTAGGGGGTGCATAAAACCCCCTGTTCATTGTAGCAATGGCTCACACTTGCAAACCTAAGGGTTTCTTTGTAAGATTGGCTGTGAAGTAGTTCTGGAACATAAACTCAGTAGTTTAGTAATGCCTCTGCTAATAATCCTCTGTGGAAATAAACAGGCATTTGCATTAATTCTGCTTTCTTTCCCCTTCCTGCAAGGTAAAAAGAATGCAAATTCAAAATCATGTTCTTGAGTTCTAGAAGAGTTTTGCCTTAACTTTGAGTTGGATTAACATAAAAGGTTATAAAATTATGATCACAGGTATGTGTGCATTACATGAATTCCAATTATGGCCCACTTCCAGAGATTTGTGTGATGTTTGAGGCACCAAAGAATTTTTTTTGCAGTTGCAAAAAACCTGATTTAAATGCATAATTCATTATATATACATATATACACACTATATATATATATTTACATGTATAAAAACATTAAAAGTTTTAAACATAAAGTTAATGGGGTCCTTATCAGACAAATGCACTTTCACATTTTTTACTTTCAAGATACCAACTAATTGTTAAGGACCCAGGTACTGTGTTGAATGTTCCCAGGCTCCCCCTTCTTTGCTTGACATTGCTTAAATATATTTGAGGGAAAAAAAAAAAAAGTTCATTTTAAAGTATTACAGTTCTGAAAATCTAAAATCTGAGTCAACAAAGATACAACAAAGATGTTTATGTAAAATCTTTTTAATGTACCTTTTAATCTTTGGTGCTTTTTTGCCTTTTCCCTGGAGCTCCATATGTTTGAAGATGCTTTAAAAACATGATTGAGAGTTGTATTATCTTTGGTTTAAGTGTGTAGATAATTGCATCTGTGTACATGCATAAACTGTGACCATAATTTTTTGTACCTGCATTAAAGCCATTTTTGTTCAAAGATGCTTTTCTGGGACACCACCATTTGTTTCTGTCATGTGTTCAGTGTGTACACTCTGGAGAACAGGAAATATGAATTCTTACATAGGTGAAGATGAGTATCACCTAACAATTATCAGGAATCTGTGAAACTGACTTAAAGTAGCAAGTGGGTGGTAATGTTTTAAAATAATTATTTTCACTTCAAAAGACATTGTGTTTTCTTTAAGCTACTCTCTAATACCTGTTGGTATTCTCAGATAGTTGCAGTATTAAGCAACTTTAATCAGAGGCAAAAAGATACTTTGATCATGTGTGGAATACTTCTAATCATGTGTGGAATAATTCTCCATGCTTTTTAAGGATTCTTTATTATCTTGAGTATTACTCCATACTAAGCCTGCAACTTCTAAGGCTGAAAACAGGTTACAAGTCTTGAGAGTTGGAGGTTTTTTGGTTGTTTTTTTTCCCCAGGCATTAAGCATTGTGTGATATAATTGGAAATCCTTGAAGATGTATCACTTTGATTCAATAAATCCTGAAGTACATGTGTAATGTAAGCCTCCAGCTACCCTAAAGCTGACTGAAGTCATACATGAGCTTAGGAGCCTTGTTGGATCCAAGCTGGTGCAATTCAGTGCTCATAATTGTATTTAACAACATTCCTTCAGTTGGATTTTAAGAGTGTCTCTTCTAATCCCATCATGTTTCACTGTAAAGGTCATGTAACTTCTTACTTCAAAAAACTGCCGTTTGGTGTAGGCACCTTTCACAAAAGGAATACTGAAAGTAGGTTGCAAGTGGTTATATCTGTGGGGCAAGGTCACTGGTACTTTGGTTATTTAGCCATATTCATTAAAATTATATTAATTGTATAGTTTGGATAATTTATAACATTAAACTTTGTGATTTTAATATCACATGGAAGGTTCAGCTGTACTCATTTCTTTTATTGTTTAACACCAGTGCTATGGACGAAAGACCCAAAGGGGGTGGTAGTGTTACTATTTTCTTAATTTATTTGGTACTGTATAACACCTTTCTGATTAAATGCAGTGTATGCATTTTGGGACTCTTAATTTGTAAAAGCTGTTACAGGTTCAGCAAGAAAGGAAATTTGTGCTTCCTTGTTGAATGTTAAATTATTTTACTTTGCATTTTATATAAGAGTACAAATTAAAACTGAGCCATCAAACTGCAATAAATCTACAGTAGTGTTTCATTTTAAAGACCTTTTGTACTGTACATAGATTTGTTCAATAAAACATTGTCTTTGTTGTTGATAGAAACTGATCTTGTCATTTGGAAGTGCTGCTGTGATGTTCGGAGCTACTGTGTTGTTTGGTTACATGATGGTTGCGTGGCACCTGTGTGAAGACGCCAGGTCTTGACGTTCCAGGTGTCTGGATATTTGGATTTGAACAGACCAAGCTTCAAAATGGGGACAGCAGTTAATTCCTAGGGTTCAAAATCCAAATTTGGGGCCACAGACAAGTCAAAGTGCAGCTGTTTTAAGATACCTCTGCTTCTGGTTGGCTGTCAAGTTCAGACAGAAAGACAGTGTAGCTGCTTTTTTTCTTTTGCTTCAGAAAGTTCTGAAATTACTGGGTAATTTTATTATTCACAACCCTATAAACTCCTAGGGTTTTTTGACTGCAAGATTTCTGACTGTCTTCTGGAAAATTTTGGGTGGATTTTTTTGTGTAACTTCAAACTTACCTTTATTTTTTACTACAGATGATTTTGACAAGGTCCTTGCCTGAGGAAGTGAAGTGTGGTTATAAGGGTAAGGGGCCTCAGGTACATTTTGCCAGCAAAAATATTTATCAAAATGGCAATGTGTACATAAGCCATTTCATAAATTCATTGCTAAATATATTAACACCAAATATAAACTTCTTTGCCCCTCCTCAGATGGACAGGAGAGAGAAAATACAACAAAAGCCCTTGTAGTAACTACTTAAATTACAACAATTTATTGTTAAAACAGTACTGTTCACCATTTGGTTTAAATAGGCTAATAATTTTCCTGTTTCTTCCCCTTTGGGAATGCCAGTTCCTGCTCAATGCTCAAGTCAATTAAAAGTTCGAGTAAAAACTGTAAAGGGATTTCTAAGTTTTGAGAAAGAGGAAAAAATGAAACCTACTTCTGAGATTATCCCCTTTCCACCCCCCATCACCTCCAAAGGAGAAGCACTTACAAAGTAAAATAATATATAAATATATTATAAATAATCCTGCTGAAAGGGCTGGTCTTGGTTTAGAATAGGAGAAGGACTGGGGAGACATCAGTCCAGAATTTTGAAAAGTCTCTCCCATCTCCCTGATGCCAGTACACTTTTCCTCTCCATGGATTAATGGGAATGTGACCATTCCAAGGCAACCTGCCCCCCCTTCCCCTCCCACACCCTCATTTCTTGCTGAAAACACAGCAAACATCTCAGTCTAATTTTAAAAATACATCTTGATGGTTGCAGATTTTTTCCCCCTGAATTCCAGAACATTTGTACAGGTATTATACTCGTTGAAGGCTGCAAATCTAAATAAAGATTTATTGAAACATAAGGAAAATGAAGCAAAGGTAATTTATATTTCACAAATGCATTGTCTAATTTGTAGTTTGCAGGATTGATACTAATCAAGAATATTAAATCAGTGTACACGTGAGGGGAAGTTTGACACAGCAGACAATAAGCATTATTACATTAAAGTTTTCCAGATGCTTCCAGACTGAATTTTTATCTGAATGATGAACTTAAAATTCATGGACAAATGTTCAGATGTTTCTGGCTTGTATGGAATTCATTGCTACAGCTCTAGAGAACAGCTCTTACTCAGCTGAATGTGTGTTGGTTTTCCTTCTGCTCAACCTAGGAGATCTGCATGGCCTTTTTTTAAATCTCAGCAAGGAAACAATCATCTAAAGTACAGGGATAAGGAATGTGTTTTCTGTTCCCATCAGTGTTCTGTTGGAGGTTTACCAGATCTTGAGGGCAGGCATTCCTTTACTACAGCTCTGAACAGAGCCCACTATAATAATGAGTTCAGTTTGTGCCACAGCATCATCACTAATTTGAGCGTGGTTCTTTTTTCTGCCTTTACAGAATCTGGGTCTTCCTGGGTTTGAAATCCCAGGCAGCTTTAGCACATAAAGGTGGTCTCCTCACACATCCATATTAAAGCATGGGGTGGAGGAGAGTTTTTTTTTCTGCCAGAGAAGTCAAGACTTGTTGCATCTTTATTTTTCTTGGCATGTAGCTTATGATGTTTAGTTCAGCTGAAGCTTCTTCTGTCTTCTATTCCCTTTTTTGTTCATCTTTCCTCCTTTTTTCTCTCTCTTTTATAAAGTGTCCATCATTGGTTGCTCTGCTCCTGACAGAGAAAATAGTGCCACGTGGAAGAGCAACACAAGGTTGAGAGCTTGCATGTAGCAAAAATCCCCAACTTTAGTTTATAGGACTTTGTGGCGGCGTGCTGTTGGATTTCCCTGTCCAGGGGACATGCACCACTTGGGGACGTGCAGTGCTTGCCTCAGTCACAAGTGGATTACCCCCCCACAGGGGCCGCAGCTCAGACGTCCAGATGAGGTGACCAGTGGTAGAAATCACATCAGAGAATATCCTGATCTGGATGGGACACACAAGCATCGCTGAGTCCAACACTTGGCCCTGCACAGGATCCCCTGAGAATCACACCCTGTGCTGAGAGCGTCGTCAAGACACTGCTTGAATGCTGCCAGGGTGGTGCTGGGGAGAATCTCTTTCTAATATCCAACCTAAACCTTCCCTGACACTTGAGGTCTCATGCCCTCGGGTCCTGTCACTGCCATCACAAAGAGATCACTGTCTGTCCCTCCTCTTCCCCCTCGACGATGTTGTCACTGCAGTGAGGCCTTCTCTTGTCCAGCTGAAGAGACCAAGCCCTCCTCCCTTGGCTTCTCCTCTACGCCCTTCCCCATTTTTTTGTCCTCCTTTGGACACTCTAATGGCTTGATAACCTTCTGATAGTATGGTGCCCAAAGGTGCTCCAGGTCTGGAGGTGAGGCTGCCTCAGCAGGGAGCAGAGTGGGACAATCCCCTGGATGTCACGGTGTCCATGCTGTCCCTGCGGCCCCAGGACAATCCCCTGGCTGTCACGGTGTCCATGCTGTCCCTGCGGCCCCAGGACAATCCCCTGGCTGTCACGGTGTCCATGCTGTCCCTGCTGGCCCCAGGACAATCCCCTGGCTGTCACGGTGTCCATGCTGTCCTTGCGGCCCCAGGACAATCCCCTGGCTGTCACGGGGTCCATGCTGTCCTTGCGGCCCCAGGACAATCCCCTGGCTGTCACGGTGTCCGTGCTGTCCCTGCCGGCCCCAGGACAGGGATGTCACCCCTGGCTCCAGGGCACTGCTGGCTCACATCCACAGGCCATGCACCAGAACCCACACATCCCTTTCCATGGTGCTTCTCTCCAGCATCTCCCCAGAGCTCAGCACCACACCCTCAGGGCGGGCTGGAAGGGAAGGATACCCTCAGTTACAAACTCTCCATATGTTTTATGATTACGTTTTTATGTATACGACACAATCCATACATTTAAGCCCGCCTCCTTGCGGCTTTGCTCCCCCGCGGCCGTTTCTCCGTGCGGAACCTCGGTGCCGGTCCCTCTTTCCAGCCGGCG